GGGGTGGCGGGGGCGGCCGCGGGGAGCCCGCGGGCTCGCAGGGGAGGCGGCCCCGGCGGGGAGCCCGCGGGGGCGGGCGGGTGAGCGGGCAGTCACCGCGCAGGGATGGGGATGGGGACAAGGAAGGGGATGGGGACAGTTCCGTGAGCCGCGCGGAGCCCCCGGCTCCAGCCCGCGCTTGTGCCCGCTCCCCAGAGCTCCATGAACCAAGCGGGTTTCCTCTCATCGCTGCAGGGTTTTCCCGAGCAGAGACTTTCACCAACACGGGCACCGCCAGCTCCCTGCCACGCCGCAGGCCACGCTTTTGGAGCAGCACAAGCGGCGCTGCAACCCGGAGGGTGAAAATCAAACGCTCTAAAAGTCTCGTGAACCGTGTACTGAAATGTATCCCTCCCACCCCCCGCCCCGATCTTGGGCTCTCCATGGGTGCTACATCTTCAGTGCCAAACACATCTGTGAGCTTGGTCCTGGTGCTCGCCCAGCTGGCATGGCTTGGGCACTGCTGCACCAGCAAGCTCCCCGAGCCTCTAAAAGAGGATAAGTGCACACAGGTTGCCTGAAATTGGTCCCTAGACAGTATTAACTCCCTACTGCATCGAGGAGCTGTTTGGGGCAGTGTTGGCTGGTGTTGGCCTAAAGCACAGCAGGGACCTTTTTTAACCATGTAGCACTGTAGATGGATCAGTTCCAGTGCTTGGTGCCTTTTCCTAGCACTTCCCAAGTTTACAGATATTGTCAATGACAGCTGAAAATGTGCCTGGAACATCTCCAGAACTGAAGTGCCCATTAGAGCCCCTGGACTGATGTATGTATCCATGCATGCCCTGAGCAAACCAGGCAGCTGCCTGCGCATGTGCTGAAGACAGAGATGCCCTCACAAGGGTGCAGGAGAGGAGCTGTTCCTGCAGCTGGGTGAGGACAGGGGGAAGGGGACATGCACACCATGCACACTGACATGCAAGCCCCAGTTTGGGATCCTCTAACGGCTTCCTGCACCCACTAGTTTTCCTTCAAGTATGCATCAGTATCACTTCTGATGTTAAAGGTCTTCCCTTTAGGCTGAATATCCTTTAACAAGATGTATGTATTTAGCAAGATGCATGTGTGTGGGTGTGCACACGTGCAGCACGTGGCTGCTAAACTATCAGACCCGGAGTTAATGAAGCTCAGCGGTTCCTTCTTTCACTTCATTAAGGGAAACCTAAAGGCATGAGAGACAGTTCAGTTCTGACTCTTGCGGATGACCGAGGGCTGCTTGAAAGCACCAGGTAGACAGAGACCAGAAAGCACTAGACGACAGAGGCTGTGGTGGGAAGGTCTCTGTAGACAAGCTGGGAGCTGCCTGGGCTGCTCAGGTTATTTGCAAAATACCCCTAAAAGTCAGGTTATATAAGGTTATGAAAGTGAAAGCCAGCATATGATCCGAATGTTTGAAAAGATGACAAATCCACTGCGGACAAGCTGTTCCGCAGCCCCTGTGGCAGCCTGCAGCCCTGGGATCCCTAGGTAAGAGCGGCACAGGCAGAGGGAAGGAGCGGTGCTCAGGGACGTGTCCTTGTCTGATGGACGAGAGTCGCAAGGAAACATCAGCCGTGGCTTGGGCTGGTTTCCTGAAGAGCTGCACAGAATGGGAGCTCCGTTTCCGCCCGTTTAAGGGGCACATCCCTTTGAACCAGGACATGAGCTCACCCGGCCCTGGCTCTCCGAAGGTGGGCAGTAAACTGGGAGCAGCAGTTGCTTTCCCTTGCACGTGGGAGCCGTATTGTCGCGGCAAACCAGGGCTATTGCTGGGATTTCCTGAGGAGGGGGGGTCCCTCCTCAGTCCACGGCTGAGTATTCACAATTTCTAGGTAGATATATTCAAAAATGATTCTTTCCCTCCCCGCCAACCCCACCTGGAGAGTTATATTTGTTTCAAACTCTTTGTTTGAGCAGTTGGCTTGCAAGTGGGGAAGTATTGCTCATGCTTTGTTATGAAGGTGGCACAGCTCAGTTTCCCAGACTTCTGGGCAACAGCTTGAACTACTGCTATTTAACAGGGGAAGTTATTTTCCGTTTTATTTTTTTTATTGGGTGTCCCTACAACTTAAGCATGGCCCTTGACACTGCCAAAGTACCCCTGGCAAATGTGTTGTTCTTCTTCCTCAGCCCCAGTTCTGACAAAGGCTAGAGCAGCAGCTAAGCCTGTTCTTCATATCGTCCGTAGTTCAAAATAAAGCTTGCAAGCAGTACGAGGTGCCCATCTTTCTCAGTGCTTGGCTTTCTGCTTTTCTGTCGCGTCTTCCAC